AAAACATCTCCTCCTACTTTCAGTAGTTCCGATGCTATTTGATCCAATCCCTGTGATTTATTGTTTTTCAATTTGGCTACTGCTGTTCTAATCTTGGTTATTGTTGGTGGGCACTTTTCTCTGATGTCTGCTTGGTCTAATTGTATATTAAAGTTCTCCTCCAGCCCAATATGACAGAAGTTTTACGTTTTTGCTGCTTTGCGCACAAATTGGCGCATTTCTTGTACAAGAAAATGCAGCGGACACAAATTCTTGTATCGTTTCTGATATAAGAAACTATACGCTTGTATGGCACTATCCATTTTTTTGTTATATCAGAAACGATGTAAGAAATGAAACAAGAAAATGTATAGTGTCATACAGCCTTAAAAGCGACAAATTTAATGGGTATCTTAAATGATAATGGACTGGAGAATTTTATCTGACTAATCAAAGAAGAAAAAATACTCAAAGCGTCAGTTACCAAAATGGCTCACATAGTAAAAACTGAAACTTTCGAGTATTTCTAGCGACATTTTGATACATTTTTGGGCTTTTTGTTTGTCATTTAATAACTGTTAATAAAATCTAGGTTGACTATCATACTCCAAAAACAAAAGAGACCAAGCAATGGATACACAAAGCTTATCAGGAACAAAATACTAGAAAAACGGTTTTTTCACCAGAAATAGTTGACACTTGTGTTTTGTGACTTCCTTGGTCAACTCAGAAAGCATAGACTGATAAATGGAGACTATTATATGCCTCCGTTTGAACAACTAATAGACTCATTTACTTAGTTATAATTCCTATATGGTATAATACTCCATTTGTATTTTTAAATTATGTACCTGTAATTGCCCCTTATCTTTAGAATATAATAAACATGTTTAGTGCTATTTCGTTCACTTGTTAAAAACGTAAATTTAAACTTATCTTGTTCTTTAAATAAACTATCCAATTAATTCAGAAAGATATGAACTATATAAGAATATTTAATTTATGTGTTTCCGGTGTAGGTAATCCAAAATTTATTTAAAAAAATTTTAATCAGTGCAAATTTAAAAATGTAAATTATACATACAATTTCCGTTTTAATTGCATTAAATATATCCATTAACAATCAAAATATGTAAAATTGTTTAATACTCACGTATATTTAAATTTATCTCCAGATATAAGCATTTTTGAATAAACATTCTGTACACATTCGGTGACATTGGTGGCCATGGCGGCCATAAATCCCGTCAATTCAAAACTGACTTCATTTACAGAACATAAAGCTAGTCCTGACATCACAGGAAGGAGACTTAAGTTGACATACAGTCCAGTTTGCTCCCCTAAAAATATAATGTGAAATATAAAGGTTCTTGAAACCATATTACAATATATGTAAATCAAAAATTTCATATTCTAGTTATCATTAAGATTATTATGATTTTATTATCCTTAATATTTGAATATAAAAAATCGATGGTCAGCCAATTAAAAAATGGCAGGTTATTTGTATTTGGAATATGCTAATCTAGGCCCCTGAAGAGGTGTACTGATTTGAGAAGAAGACTTTAGACTATTTTACAAAAGAATGAAATTTTGTTTGTTTGAAGGTTACAGGAACTTACTACCGAACATTGATTACCGCTATTAATTTTGTAGGAGAAAAAATCATTAAAAGAATTTATTCATTTTGTTTGATGTTGCAATTCCTAAGAAAATAAAAGAAAAAAGTGTTTAAACCACCCTATCTGAAATCAAAGCATTGTCCAACTCCATATAAACAAACTTTAGTATGAGTTTTAAGATAAGTGCTGAGAAGTGCCGATAAATGGCCTGTTCCAGATTACCAATTCTTATGGGTATCCTAAGTTAACAATGGTTAAAAAGTAGAGATAAACAAGGAATATATGTAACTCATGTTACACTTGAAAAATATTGAATATGAAGGACTGAAAAAAAGTAATAAAGTAATTGTTAAATATTAAAACAGTAGCTAAGTAAGCCTTAATACTTACTTTTCTACATATACATATATTGAATATCTAGAATAATCCTAAATTATAATACAAAATAGCATGCACAGTGTCTATAATTCTTTTAAGTACTTACCTAACAAACATCTTGAAATCAGCACTGTAAATAATGGTGCTGAACTTTTTATAGTTTCTGTAAAACTTACTGCTACATAATTCAATGACACTAATCCTAATACAACAGTAAAAAACCTGAAATAATGATATATTAGCTGAATTAAAAATGATATTTAAGTACCATGAATTTTTAAATCTTTCTACTCATTACCTAGAAACAGTAATCCATCAAAATTGTGTAATACATTTAATCAATTTTGATAAGGGATCAATTATTACAGGAAAAAGTCATAAGTTATCTTCTGTTGAATAGCTCGAGATGAAATTTAAGCCCACTTATTCTGCATAAATTAGTATTAAACAATTTTTTAAAAGACTACTGGCAAAGTTTAATTAGAAACTAAACTAAAAAATAAACGAAATGACTTTAATCTCTGTTATGAGATAGGCATAGACATTAGATTAGATAGGCATAAATAAATGTCGAGAAAATAAAAACAATATACAATTATGACACACAAGGCAAAATTTAGGGTATTAAAATGAGGAAAAAAGCAATAAATACTCCTTGGAGAGACAACAAATTAGCAGATACATAATATGCAAATGGGTTGTGAGTGATCAGCAATATCAAACAACTAGGAATTCTGTAGATCCATGTAGGAAAAGTACATCTATTCATGGTTTTAGTTCTACTAGGATACTGGTCTGAATGAATTTTGTGTTTTCCAATTTTTATCTCCACACATTTCCTTAAAATTCCCTTGGACAGACAAAACAATCTAAGTAAATAACAATCATACATAATCATAATAATGTAAAATCATACCTAAAACTTCCAACTAAAACCATATGTTTATAAAATCCAGGAGGTTTACTCAAACGCTGTGTTGGTTTATACATCCCACAAGGAAAATATAACTGTATAAACCCACATGTGGCAGTCATTAACATTTGACAGGCAGCTGAAACAGTTTTGTAATTAAAAAATGCAATTATATTAGACATATTTACTAGACAGAATTAAATCCATCGAGCAAAAAGACAAAAGAGGAAATCTAATCATTATGAAAAGACCAACATTCATAAAAATGGCCTCTTAATATGGGGAACATATCCGGGAATGCAAAGGCGTCAAATTTAGTGTAGCTATAAAATATTTTTCAGAATAAGTCTTAGACGAGAAAGTTTTAATTAAATAATAATGATAATAGTCTAAAATGTGACACAATTGTTAAAAAACTTCAATATAAATAAGCTTTCATGTGGCAGTTGGGACAAAACATCATCATCATCATCATCATCATTGGTGCTACAGCCCTATAAAAGAGCCTCGACCTTCCCAAGTGTATTATGCCAGTCAGTTCTATCCATTGACAACTGTTGCCAATTTGCTGCGCCTATTTTTCTACCATCCTCATCTACACCATCCCTCCATCTGAGTTTTGGCCTACCCCTACTTGTACTTCCCACAGGTTGTGACATAAAGGCTGATTTATAAACTTTGCGTTGGCGTTGGCGCTGGCGTTCGCCGTTTACCTTGGCGCTAGCTATCACACACTGCATTTATAAACTTTCGGTTGGCGTTGGCGTTAAAGATCACATCTTAATTTCTTGCCTTACATTTTTGATTTGGTGTTATTAATTTTTGCTTGAAAATTAATACAATGGAAAATGCTCAGCCTTTGTTAGGTGCAGTGGCACTGATACTTTGTATTCGAGCAGCACTGAGCCTTTGAAATAAAAGACAACATCGATACAAACTGAGGCCCATTAACCAGAGGTTAATGAGAGGTAACCATGAGAGATTAACCATGAGAAAGACAAGAGGTAATTTTAATTATTATAAAAATATGAAAACTGGGATACCCAGCAGTTTTTTAAATGCACCAGGATACAGTTTCCAGTATTTGAAAAATTACTGCAAATGTTAAAATCAAAAATAAATGTAAACTGTCGCTCTGATGGAATTTCTGTTGAAGAAAGGCTTGTTATTATCTAAACTTTCCACTTTATAAACACGTGGAAACATAAAGAAATAATTTTGTTTGATTTGTTTGACAAACTTTGTCACTTTTTCGATATTGCTATTGGCTGCGATGACAAAGATACAGTTTTATTTTATGTTCTGAGATCGATACTACAACCACAGAAGGGTTTGTGTATTCTGTGCTACAGCGGCCAACGGCAAAAGATAAAGTTGGTTTATCTTGAATGGAACCGAACGCTGACGCCAACGGCGAACGATGTTTATAAATGGACATATGAGTTTTCCATTTGACCATGTTGTAACGCGAACGTCAGCGCCAGCGCCAACGCTAACGTAAAGTTTATAAATCAGCCTTAAGGATTCTTTATAGGAGGGTTGTTCTGCTGTGATCTTGCCAGATGTCCTGTCCATCTTAGTCTTCCTATTTTTATAAGAGATACTACGTCTTTACCACCAAATATATGTTTATATCTGTGATATATCTCATAGTTGTACCTCCTTCTCCAAACACCATTTTCACAGATGCCACTGAATATTCTTCTCAGGATCCTTTGTCCAAATATAAGCAGGAGGTTTTCATCTGCCTTGGAAATGGTTCATGTCTCTGGTCCATATGTCAACACTGGTTGTATAAGGGTTTTGTATATGGTTACTTTTGATTTTTGGCTTAAGTTTCTGCTTCTCATATGTCTACTCAATCCACAATAGCATTTGGTGCTAGGATTATTCTTCGCTTAATATCTTCCATCGTGGTGTTCTCCTTGGTGATCAGGGAGCCTAAGTATGTGAATTTGTCCACCACTTCAAAGGTAGAGTTATCAACCGTGCATTGGTGGCTGATGTTTCTGGCTCTATTGTTGGGTGTTGATGCCATTATCTTTGTTTTCTCCTAATTTACTTGCACATATTTTTTTAAACATTTGGCAAGGTGGCTTCTAGCTTGCATGTTGTGTGGGCAACTAGGTCAACATCATCTATCACAGCCCAACATGCGTTTCAAATGCCTGTGATTGTTCCCCTGTATTTTGACTTTGCAAACAACTTTACGCATTGTAGCCTTAACCAATCTTATCAGTTTGTCAGTGATGTGGAATTCATCCATGGCTTCATACAATTTATTTCTTAGGACACTATCATACACTGATTTAAAATTTACGAAAAGATGGTAAGTATGTGTCTATATTGAATTCATTAGTTTTTCCAGTATTTTCCTAAGCACAAAGATCTGGTCTGTTGTTGATCGACCAGGCCTAAAATCACTTTAATATTCTCCAAGAAGCTCCTCTGAATATGCACTCAGGTGACCATATAAAATACTCGAAAATATTTTGTATGCTGTAGGGAGGGTTATACAAACAATAACATAATCCAACTAAATTTGATTTCTTAAATAAGGAAAGTGACTCTCTTTCCTTGTTTAATTTGTCCTCTCAAAATAGCACTTCCTGTCTAACAATATTTTTGCCCCCACTATTTTTATGTTCCCTCTTCTGTCTTTTTACTCTATGATTAAATCACAATTAAAATGACTGAGAATTGCATTTTATTATTTTATTTTGATATTTTAATTTATAAAATAATATAATGTAATTCTCATTATAGTTAATATTGTGGTCTAATCTCATCTAATAAATATCTATGTAAAATATGCCACAGCAGAACAGCTTTAGACCAATTTTGTTAGTTTCACAAAAATAGTACATGCTATACCTTAACTATTTAGTATCTTTTATAGAACTCGTAATATTATACAGTTTTAAGCTTATAAAACTGGACAGATAGTCAAGCATACCAAGCAGAAAAATTACACTCACTCTACAACCAGTGTTGTAGTGAATCAATGATTCAAACCCTGGCCAGAAAACAAAAATTTTAAGTATTTATTTTTATTTATTTATTTATTAGTATCAAATACAGATGGATCTATGACATAAACTAAAATATGCCCGTGTATGTGATCAATCTGTGGATGAGCAGTACAATAAGAGATGATACTTGACAGAGGGCTAAGTTTTAGTCAATCTATAGATCTATGTGAGATACAACAAAAAGCTGTATGACGCCGCAAAGACGTAGATAGTTTAGAATAAATGGAGAAATGTTTACATGCCTAATATTTCTTATACAAACATTTACCTGATGTCATAACAATGGTTTAGCCCATTAAACTTTAGCATGTGAACTTTCAATTTGATTGTTTATTTTCATTTAACTTTACATTTCACATTCAATAAAATATATAGCGTTAATATCGTTTTTCTTGTATCCTAAGCACTGATCAAAAATAATTCTATATGGGGTACACAATTTTAGCTTACCTAGAATTGCTGGATTTCCATTTTCATAAGTTAAAATATATTTATTTAAGAATAACGAACAACCACTAAAAAAATACCACAGTAACAAGAATACAATAGCCCTAATACTGGTAAGCCCATGTTTATGTTTTTCCAATTGTACTTCTTTTTTAATGCCATTGCTTTCAACTTCTTTTGTAGTTGAACCTATCAATTGATGTGTGTCCATATTAACATAACAAAAGATATTTACTGTATTAAGTCACAGAAAAAATATTGCATTCAATATTTTTTTAAAGAATTTTTATATTAATACACTTGACACAATGTAGTAAACGTATACATCTCGAATAATGTGATTTATACAAGGTTTTCCTTTCCGTTCCAACCGATTTCACTTTCACCTGCCGTGTGTTACTGTCAATAATGTCAGTGTCAGTGTCATTTGTTAGATTTACACGTCATTTGATCTAATGATTGTTAGGCATTTTCACATGTTTTAATTATAACAACAATTTTAGGAAATAAAATACTTATTAGCAATTTAACGACGAGCACTTTAAAAGCACACGACATTTTAAAATTGGGGTAATAATAACTATGGATCATTTGTTTGAGTGGATACCTTGGGCCCATGGGTTAAGAGATTGTTGATAAGTAAATCGGTGAAAATGCCTAAGTGTAAAAATACGAATACTAAGCTTACAAAAAAAGAAGAATTAAGAAATTCTCAAAATAAGGTTAATTTATCATTTAATATTTTTATTTATATTTCTAAATTATTTATTATATCCAATAAGTATATATATCTCTATTTTTTATTCCCTATTACCCCAAAATTTGAATAATATGGGCTTAGGTATTCTATTATTTGCTACTGCATTAAGCTTTATCAGCGTTCATTCAAACATTATCGGAAAACAGGTAAGAGCACAAAATTAAAAAAGTGTTTTTTTTGTATTATATATTTTTAGATATTGAAATGGATCAACAAACCTACATCGAAAGAAAAAGAATTAACCTCTAAAATAAATGATTTGAAGAAAAGTCAAGAATGTGTTAGCATTACTGAAAATTTTTCCAAATACTCAAAAATTCAGAGGCAGATAAACAAGATTGAAGAAGAACTTTCCAATTCTCGAAATGAAAGAAACAATTTAACGATTCAGTTAGGTTTTGCGTATGGTCCAAAGGTTTTACTTGGATTTTTGTTAGTTATATTATCTATTTACTATAGAAGTACACCAATTATCACCCTGGATAATAGTATTGATTTAACACCCTTTAGTTTCTTAATTTCATATCCACATGGTGCAAATGCTGTGTCTTTTCATTTTTGGATATTATGTAGTTCAGCCACAGCTAGATTAATAAAATTAAAGAATTGATGTTTGTACATTCTTATTCCTTGACAGCTTTGAATTTTTTATCCATCCAGGTTTAGTAATAAAACCTATAACTGAAGACCTTATAACTTGTACCTAAATATCACAAATTATATTAGCAGGTTTCAGGAACTACTGAATGAAAGTGTATATTCTTTGGTATCACACAATGTGGGTATGGCAACTTTTACAGTTTTGATATATGTGTTGCCTAACATTAAGGAAATATTTTACCTGGATCATCCACCAAAATTTGTTATTCACCTGCAGTTTACTGACAAAAACAAAACTGAATGAATTAAAATAAAACTTTAAATGCTTATTTGGGAAATTTAATATCTCCCAATATGAGCTGTAGTAAAATGCCACAATCATTTACTGATCATCGAGATCACATCGACAATGTTTAATATTTTTAGTTAGGAGTGTTCAAATTTACAAAATGACAATTACAATATTTGTGGGAGAGTTTTTGGCTGTACTCTGGTTTTGGCGAGAGCATGAGTTTAATATTTAAAAATAATAGCAATATCTAGATGTCGCCAATATGGTTAGTGTATTATTAATTGCATAATTACTAGGCTCTGGAATTTTTATGTTCAAACCATAAACAAAGAATAATTATTCTGTGCCATAGAGGTATATTATATTTTACGTCTATGGTTAAAACACACTGGTTTCAAAAAGAAATAATCTTTAATTACTATTTAACTGGGAATAAGCCACAATTAAAGATAAAAATACGTTTATCGACGTTTCAATTTTCACTTCGGAAATCGTACTCAAAATACAAACAGTAAATTAAACAAATTTTGTTTTTTGTTACATAGTGAAAAATTCTTCTAATAATTTAATTTTATCTGACTCATTTATATTGACAATTCAGACATAGATTATGCATTTTAAAGTAGACGACTTTAAAAATGATATTGCCAATATTGTTGAGTTGCACTCCTAGGACGACTTTACTTATAAGATAGTTCATTCGATTACATGAAATCAACTTTAACTTGAGAATATCCGTCAGAAAAAATCATAGCATGTAATTCGTCTTTAAAAACACAAACACATGACATGATGACAGTAAAATTCTCCTGTTAGTGATTCCATAGTAAATTATTAGGGAAAAAAGCCTCATAATACTATCCCGACATGGTAAGTATTTGTTCGTGCATTTAGTTTACCTTCAATAAACACCAACATTCTGATTTTATATGTTTCGTTATTTATAAAACGTAAATGATGTATCCTCTAGTTACTGACTTAATAATACTGGTATTTTCTTTTTTTTTCCTAAAAACCAGTAAAGGTCTAGCCGCCGCAACGAGTCTTAGCTGAGGTGAGTGAAAAAGTGACATATTTTGTATAATGTCGTTTTTTTTAATTACTTGATAGTAAAAATACAACAAATTTGATTTCGTTATTGGCATATTTTGTAAAGTGCCGATATTTTACTCAACTATTCCAGATAACTGTGTTTATATAGAATAAATAAGAGGCATATTGTGCTTAGTCTCATTTTTGTGGTTTAAATGTTTAAACATTTTTAATTTCTTGCCATATTAAATAGACGTCATTTTAAGTAAAGTGTCATTGTTTTATTTAAAAATGTATATTTAATTAGAGAATTAGGATATTAAACACCGACATTTTGTTTCTATCACGTTTATTCCGTATTATTTTATAAAAGCTAAAACTTTGTAAAAGGCTAATTTCATTATTTTATAAGTTTATCACTTTAGATTTCTATGTATTTACTACCAATGACTTTAATTTTTGAATATAACCTAAAAAAGTACTATATTGTTAAAGGTACAAGACATGGACGTATAAATAAAGATCTTAATAAATCTTTATTTATACGTCCATGGTACAAGAACTATCAAAAAGCAGAGGAAAAAAGATATTACAACTGGCAATTGGGAATGACAGTAATAACATCTTCTGCTTTAAATATTATGAATAATTTACATGAAATTGGAGACAGCTCTAACCTTTTACCTGCTGAAATCAGTGATGATGGCGACTTTTCTCCCGCCTCAGGTGATGATAGAACGTACTTACCCCCAAAAAAGAAACGCCGCCGATCTACTTCGACTTCATCATCCTCCAGTTCATCCCCATCTTCATCCAGTCCTTCTTCTTCCTCTAGTTCTTCGACTTCTTCATTAAGTACGTCGTCTGATTTGCCTACAACCTCTAAAGCTAATCAAGGTGCTCATGATACGGAAACTTCTGCAAGCAATGTTAATCTTTCAAAAACTGATGAAGCCAAAGTAATTAATTGCAGGATAAATAACGACCTAAATTACCAGTTACCTGAAGTTACTAAAAATGACGAAAATCTTACAAATGACCAAACTGTTCATAATTATGTCGGCAATGATGTCGAAGAAAATTTTGCAAATGATGTCTCTGGCACGCTGCTGAATGACGATTTTTTGGAACGGGATTTTGACAATAATTATCGAGTTGATAATGTAGCTCCTACAGCTTCAAATTCTTAGTTAGATGACCAAAGTACTCAAGCTCACGATGAAAATAATGCCGCCCATTCAGCATCTGATGGCAATGATAAACCAAATAAGGAGAAGAAAAAGAAGCCGAGTATGCCAGTATTGCGAATAATTTAAGAAATGCCGATCAAGAATATGTTTCAACTTCCAAAATAAAAAAGGTTTTTCCGGCAAAAATTCTAAAACAAACTTGTGGAAATAGCTGTCGGCTGAAATGCTCAGATAAAATATTTGGAGTCTCAAGGCAAAAACTGTTTGATGCTTACTGGGCTATGGCTTCCTTAGACCGACAAAGAGAATACATAGCTCGTAGTATTCAAAATATTATCCCGAAATATCAATACAAGAAAATGAATTCAAATAGGAAGGTCAAAAAATGCTTTTTATTTTGAAATAAATAGTACCAAAACTAGAGTATGCAAGACATTCTACAAAAATACACTAGATATAACTGACAGGTGTATCAGAACTGTACTGAAAAAAAAAGATTCTTTTACTGGTATTCTAGAAGGTGAAAAGAGAGGAAGACATGAAAATCACAGAAAGTTGTCTATCGATTTGGTAGAAGGAGTAAAAACACACATAAACAGCATCCTTCGAATCGAGAGCCATTACTTGCGTCAGCTAACCTCGAAGGAATTCATCGATGGTGGAAAAACAGTAATGGATCTTTACTCAGACTACAAAGACAATTGCATAGAGCAAGGATTACCCTATGTTATGGTACATTCGTATCGAAAAATTTTCACGAAGAATTTAATATTAGTTTGTTCGTACCTAAAAAGGACCAATGTGAACAATGCACAATATATAAGCTGGCTGAAGATCCCAGAAAGGAAGCTTTGAAGGAAGATTATGACCGCCATTTAGCAGAAAAACAAAAGAGTCGCGAAGAAAAAGCTAGTGACAAAGAGAAAGTGACAGATTGTTTTATCGTTGTATGCTATGACTTACAAGCGGTAATGACGGTTCCTAAAGGAGACGTATCAACATTCTATTATAAGTCCAAAATAAATTGTTTGAATTTTACCATATCGGAGTTGAAAACAGACAATGTTGAATGTTACTTTTGGGATGAATCTCAAGGCAATCGTGGAGCCAATGAAATAGGTAGCTGTGTTTTGAAGTTTTTGCAAAAGAAGTCTTCTTTCGCTAATAAAGATCTTGATATAGTGTTCTATTCTGATAACTGCTGTGGCCAACAGAAGAACCAGTTTATCATTGGAATGTACATCTATGCAGTATTAAATCTCAAAGTAAAATCAATAACCCATAAGTTCTTAATCCGAGGCCACACACAAAATGAAGGGACGCAGTACATTCAACGATTGAGAAGGAAGTAAAAAAAGTCTTAAATCTGGACCCATTTACGTACCTTCCCAATACGTCTGTGCCATCAGAAGTTCGAAAAAACGTGGGACGCCGTACATTGTAAATGAGATGGGATACGAAGATT